AATGAGCCCTTACATCATACTCTGGTACTTTGACAATATATCTAGTAGCGTTGTTGGCAGCGTCTTTTGCTTTGCGATCTGCTAGCTCATTTCCTGGAATTCCAACGTGTGATGGAACCCATAGGAAAACAATTCTTTTGTGCATTGCAATATCTTTCATTTCATCCCGAATTCTTTGAGCTATGGCGTTCTTGCTGTACATAGTGCTAATTAACTTAAGCGAATTCAATGAGTCGGATATAATTAACCAATTATTTGCGGAGTTACCTTTAATATACTTGATGGCTTCAAATATTGCATAGAGTTCACCCGTAAGGACTGTGGCTGTCTCTGGCAGCTTACATTCTATAATGGATGTTGGTGTTATGACTGCAGCGCCAACGTGCATTTGTAATTTTGAGGCATCTGTATATATTTCACTGTAGTTACCATATTGATTGCGGATTTCTGAGAATTTCTGGTATATAATTTCTTTTGGTGTTTCCTCTTTGCATAGTTTTGTCAGTGTGCTGTTGATAACAGGTATCTGAATGCTCCAAGGTGGGTTAGTTGTCTGAGTGGTGGTGATAGTAGGAGGAAGTACAGGCATACGTAGTTGATTTAGATACTGTGTTATTCTGTAGTTGAAACTTGAGGCAATTTGGCGGTTGACAGATGTGTGACTAAATCCTGGTATAGATGGGTTAGATGCAAGTTTAGTTGCGTATTGTAGACTCAGGACTTGTCTTCTAACATATAGGGGAGCTTCTCCAGACTCACAGTATAAACTGTCAATGGGTGTGGTTCTGAAGGCTCCTAATATCAGGCGTAGTGCAGAATTATGTAGAACGTCTAGAGGTTTCAATACTGTTGATTTTGCCGAGCTATATGCTATGCAGCCATAATCTATTTTCGATCTCACTAGTGCACGATATATACTTAAAAGGGTTTTTCCATCTGCACCCCAGTGTCTATTGGCTAGGTATCGTAACATGTTGAGTCCTTTCTGACAAGATTGAATTAGATAAGTAATATGACTCCTCCAGGTCAGACGTTGATCAAATATAATCCCAAGGAACTTTATTTCTTGATGTGTTTTCAGGTCTACATTTGATAAGCGTAGAGTTGGTTGTGTATGAGTTGACTTTTTAGAGAATATAATGCATTGTGTTTTGTCAGGAGAGAATGTCAGGCCATTTTTATTAGACCAGTGCTCCATTTGATTTAACGTTGATTGGAGCAACGATGTAGTAGTTGTCATATTTTTGCCTTTAACATATACAATCATGTCATCAGCATAAAGGCGAGTTTGGAGAGGCTTTTTTATATTCGCCACGATGTCATTAATGGCTACCAGGAAAAGTGTTGGGCTGATAATAGATCCTTGGGGTAGGCCGTTGATCTGCGTTTCAGCATCTGATAGTACACCATTGGCACGAACTTGGTATTTTCTGTTGTCAAGAAAATTTTGTATGAATGCTAGAATGTGTCCATCGTAGCCCCAGTTTTTTAGTTTGATGAGTACGTCAAATTTCCATACGGTATCAAATGCCTTATTGACATCAAAGTAAATGGCTGCACAATGCTGCCGTTCAGAGAATGCCTCTTGTATGTAAGATTCTAGGTCTACGATATTATCCAATGTAGATCTGTTTGATCTGAATCCGCCCTGTTCGTGCGCCAGCTGCTTTTTGCTTTCCAAGTTCCACAATAATCTCCGGTTAACAATTTTTTCTAATAGCTTGCACATTGAACACGTTAATGAAATTGGTCTATAGGATTCTGGAACCTGGGGTGGTGCGTTTGGTTTTAGAATCGGTATAACTGTGGCTTTCCTCCATTCGTTTGGAAAAACTTGCTTAGTCCATATTATATTGTAAATTTTTAAAAGTATGCTCATCGCTGAATGTGAGAGGTGCTTTAGGAAAATTGTTGGTATATCATCAGGTCCAGGTGATGTGTTCTTCAATGTAAGAAGTGCCTCGGTTAGTTCCTGTTCTGTAATGGGGTTATTTATTGAATGAAGGGTTTCGCTAATGGGAATTGTTCTATCTGTGTTTCTCTTGTAATTAAGGAATGCTGCGCTATAATTTTGGTCACTGGAATTTTTGAAATATGTTTTGGATAAGGTGTTAGCTATGTCTCTGCTTTGAGTGAAAGTGTGAGTTCCTTTCTTTATCGACCTAATGACTGAATGTGATTTTTTTCCAGACATGCTTTTGATTTTCTTCCAGACTGTGGATACATTGGTGGCATTATTGATGGTTGAAACAAATTTTTGCCATGATAATTTTTGTTCCCTTTTTAAAACAAGTCTTGCCTTTGCACGTTTGTGTTTGAAGTCAGTTAGGTTTTCAACTGTTTTATATCTTCTCATTTTATTCAGAGCTTGCTTGCTTTCTCCTACTGCATGTTCGCATTTTTCGTTCCACCAAGGGACTGGATTCCTTCTCCGTATCACCCTAGTTTTGCCTATGTTTTGGTAAGCAGCTTCTTTGATTAGATTCATAAAGCTTTGAACGGTAGCATCGACGTCATCTGTGATCTCAAAAGTGTTTAGGTTATTATCGATATAAGCAGAAAAAGAGGGCCAGTTGGCTTTTTTAAATTCCATTTTTCTCTTGGTTGTATATCTGTAATTTCTTTGTTTATATCTTGTATTATTATTGGGAAATGGTCACTCCCATACAAATCGTCCGCGACATTCCATTGTAAATGTGTAATCAGATTAGAGGAGCACATGCTAAGATCAATTGCAGAAAAGCGTCCAGAGGCTGAATCGAATCTTGTACTGCTACCATCATTCAGTAGAATCATGTTAGCATGGTCAATTATATTTTTTATAATATTTCCCCGCGTGTCATTTTTGTATGAATTCCATATGTGACTGTGAGCATTGAAATCTCCTAATATTATCCGTGGTGATGGTATTTGTTGCAGTAATGACTCAAGCTCATTTTCTTCTAAATAATAATTGGGAGGTATATATATGTTACATATGTTGATCTTTGTATCTGATTCGACGGTAATGGCTACAGCTTCTAGATTTGTGGTAAGGGTTATAGGTTTGGCTAATATATCTGATTTTATGTATATTGCGACTCCACCGCTAGCTGTAGTTCTTTCACGGTGTTTGAAAAATCCAGTGTACTGTTTTGGTGTATGCGATTTGGTTTCGTGGAAGTGTGTCTCTTGTAGGCATATAATGTCTGGGTTGAAATCGGAAATTAATTTTAGTAACATATTTAAATGGATATAATATCCATTTAAGTTCCATTGTAGTATTGACTTGAATTTAAAAAGTAGAGTCAATAGATGAAGTATCACTGAGTTGGTCGCTGAGATTTTTTTCAAGATGCCGTTCCATTTTTTTTCGTAATCTCGTACAGCGGTTTTTCAAGGCTTTGTCTGTGATGTGTGGATATATTAGCAGAAGCATCTCGATTAATCCTTTAATATCAGATGTGTGGTCGTTGACGACGGATATTATGTCTTTTGTACCGTGGGTGTTTTCCAATAGACTTTTCAATTGGTCTGAGTTCAGTATGAGTGGCGGGGTTTGGTTGTCGATAAAAGATTTAACAGACTTGAATGTAATTTCTGGTATGTGTGATGGTTGGATATCTATTTTGGGTTTCTTCATAGTTTGGTTTTTTGGAGTAACGAAGATTGGTTCCCCAGAATTTCCAGGCATAAGTTGATTCTCAGTTGAGGGGGACAAAATTTCTGAGAGGCCACGTTTGTTACTAGTTTGTGTGTCTGAATCTGTGATATCGTTGGGTTTTGATTGGGGTTGGTTTGAAGTTGTGGCTGCAGTTGTTTGTGACGCTGAACTTGCTATGTTGGAGTTTGGAGTAGTTAGTACTGACGGTTGTTGGTTGTTTTCAACAGTGAATTGCTCTGATGCTGATGTTTGTGGTGTGGGTGTTTCTGCCTGTGTCGATGGGCATTGAGATGCAATATGACCAGAAAGCTTACATTTGAAGCATTTCTGGCTGTCAAGTGAGAGGAATATACGGTAGGTGAGGTTTTCGTAGGTCATTTCCACAGTTTCTGGAATTATGCTAGGCTCTACAGGCATTATGTATACCTGTCGCCTGAAGCTTAATATATGGCTGTACTCAGGTAAAGTTGCACCTATTCTTAGAAAGGATATGGGAGAAATGAGTTTTACGCCTTTTTGCTCTAGTATGTCTTTCAAGATTTTGTGTGGAATGGTGGGACATACGTTGGATATTACTAATCTATCAGATGGTGTAATAAGTCTGCGAGCCTTTACTGACTCTCCATTAATGATGATTTCCCCAGGATCTTCAAGGAATTTGTCTACAAGTTGCTTGCTGGATAAATAGATACATATCCGATTATTAGATATTCTGGAGCAGAAAAGGATGTTTTTTGGGTCTACTATAGGACCTAGTCTTAGCAGATAATCTTGGATTTTTAGTCCATCGACAGCGTTGAAGATGATGGCTTGCTCTTTGTGTGGGTATTTGGTAGAACTTTGACTTAATATATCAGAGTATGATTTTGCAGAGTTGGTATTTTGTGATGTGTTTGGCGAATTCATGACTGTTTTATTATTTTATCAGGCAATTTGATGTTGTTATATCCTGCGGCATCCCTGAATACGGTCCTGTCCACCGAATTCGGTTTGTTTTGGTGCGCGATTTATACAGACGCAACCAATGGATGGAATTCCGATGGCCTAGGAATTTGCAGATTGTCGTGTTGTATTGTAGAATTGAAGGCTGGTACTCACAGTCTATGATGGCTTCAATATTGGCAGATAGATAACTTACACACTGGATTTTAATACGGCGTATTTCACTACTTTTGCTTGATTGTATCCGAGCACGATTCACTGGTTGCATGCGGCAAAGCGATCAGAAGCGGTAGGTCTGTTTTGACTGGAATTTTATGTTCTACATTTTCGTTCACCTTGACCTTGAATGCCAATTGCTTTCTAACAAGCTAACAGCACAAAAGTTAAATAGTATATTATTTTCCTGGGTTGAGAAGTGGGTCATTATTGGTTCTAAGGTGCGTATTGGCCTTCTCAGGAAAGGTATGTATAGAACTGGTGCTCTAACTATATCCCTATATTCGATTTTATTAGATATATAACATATGTTCTAAAAGTTTTGGTACAAAATATTTATCGAAGTTTTTTTAATGAAGAAATTTAATTAAACACTAACTAGTTATCATAAATTACAGCTCAATACTTAACTTAGCTACTATCGAATTGTGAGGAGTGGCCCATTCTACTCCACCAGATACAACTTTCTTTGAATGTCTCTCATGAGGTCCTGGTCGGAATTCATATCAATTTCTCTCAGTTTTTCGCAAATTCGCCGTCTTAATTGTTATGGTTTGTGTTTGTTAAAATTACAGCCAATGAATTTTGTGCCAAAACTTTAAGGACATACTTACGTTATTCACTGCTAAGGCTTAGATTTACTTGTAACTCAAACGCAAATTAACGATCATGACGTTTTTTGCTCACTGCACAGATGCTAGAAATATCTAAATCGTTTTTGTCAAACTGACAAGCTAAATTCATCAACAAAAATCGCGTATAAGGGGTTTGAACTCATCCACTACCATCTACAAAGGACGTAATGTGTAAATTGACCACGTTTACTTTTTACTGGCATTTAAAGCAGCTCTGTGATATGATCCCCACTGTAGAGATACTGAAAGACATCTATACAGTGCGTTCTAAAAATCCCTCCCTCTCCCGGACCCCTATTTACTTTTTGAACGGGTCGAGGTCGCACACTGATATTTGGGGTGACTTCAACATGGCGGTTGGGGACTACCTTTAAGCATTATTAAAAGTAGTAAAAAGGCAGTCATGCGGATATTTTATTTTGAAGTTCTTTATCAAAATTTAAAATTACGAACTGGCAAGCTGTGAAAATTGGATGTTTTTCTACATTTAATCGCTTACAACTCAACAACTAATCATCAAAACGTTATTATATCAACCTTCTTCTTCTTCACCTTCATCTGGAAGTGATTATTTTAGTATGGTACAGTAAAATATAAGACATTCCATTGAAATTTTTTTCCGAGAAAGGCGCAATAAAATATTGTATACGGGTGTTACGCCAATGGTCATTTGGCGCGCGCGCCACTGTGTACCAGCCACGACCACTGCGCAAGCGCTGCCGGACAGTTTTTGAATCCAGCCAATGGGGACGGAGACACGAGGAGATCGAAGCGCCGCGACCAACATTGGAGGTGTCGAGATAGAACGCATCAACAGGTTCAAGAAATTTGCATTGTTACTCATTTACCAAATCAAATACAGTCCACTTTTGTAAACTCAAATAAACCTACCACCAGACTGGAACGGATGTGTCCTTGCCGCACATAACAACGGGTTTAGAAGAAGTTGACAGTTTTTGACAAGTATTGATAATAATTATGATGACTCGTATTCAGATACTTTGGACTATAAAGTTCGGTTGACAAAATGACTTAGTGGAGTTAGCACAACACAATTTTAAATGATACTCATTAACTAACTAGGTGTTATTATACTAAGTGACATATAAATCCGAACACCCAGTTTAAATGGTTTGATTTTAATAAAATGTTGTATAAGTACTTAATGAAGCATAATAAGTAAATGATAAAAATTTCGAAATGATGGCACTGCTTTAAAGCCCTTTGACCTTTAATAATGTGTGGATGCACCCTGATGTGCTACGCATTCTCCAACGCACCTAGGCATGCTTCTGATCAGGTGGTCAATGTCCTCCTGTGGTATCTCATGCCAGGCAACCACCAACTCCTCTCGAAGTGCTTCTAGAATCTGAGGAGGACGTTGCAAATTGAGCAATCTCGTACCCATCATATCCCACACGTGCTCAATTGGGGATAAGTCGGGAGATCTTGGTGGCCATGGTAACAATGTGACATAATTATGTTGAAAGAAGTCTATTGTGACTCTTGCAACATGTGGCCGGGCATTATCTTGTTGGAAAGTTGGATCTGCCAGGGTGTCAAGATAGGATAAAAGATGGGGTTCTAGAACTGCGTGGATATAACGCTGCGCGTTCATGTTACCTCTGATGAAGATTAAAGGTGACCTGGAACCATTAGCTATAGCATCCCAAACCATAACTCCAACAGTGTGATGAACATGTCTTTCAACAAAAAACTGTGGATTCCTCCTTTCACCACGTCGCCTTCTAACCCTTACATCGACGTAATCGCCTTGAGTGGTGCAGACAACGGTCACTCTGGGATCAGGAATGGAACAGTATTGTCTTTAGTGACGAGTCTCGATTTTGTTTAGGCATGCACGATGGTCGTGCCAGGGTTAGAAGGCGACGTGGTGAAAGGAGGAATCCGCAGTTTTTTGTTGAAAGACATGTTCATCACACTGTTGGAGTTATGGTTTGGGGTGCTATAGCTTATGGTTCCAGGTCACCTTTAATCTTCATCAGAGGTAACATGAACGCGCAGCGTTATATCCACGAAGTTCTAGAACCCCATCTTTTACCTATCTTGACACCCTGGCAGATCCAACTTTCCAACAAGATAATGCCCGACCACATGTTGCAAGAGTCACAATAGACTTCTTTCAACATAATGATGTCACATTGTTACCATGGCCACCAAGATCTCCCGACTTATCCCCAATTGAGCACGTGTGGGATATGATGGGTAGGAGATTACTCAATTTGCAACGTCCTCCTCAGACTCTAGAAGCACTTCGAGAGGAGTTGGTGGTTGCCTGGAATGAGATACCACAGGAGGACATTGACCACCTGATCAGAAGCATGCCTAGGCGCGTTGGAGAATGCGTAGCACATCAGGGTGCATCCACACATTATTAAAGGTCAAAATTTTTATCATTTACTTATTATGGTTCATTAAGTACTTTTATTAAAATAAAACCATTTAAACTGGGTGTTCGGATTTATATGCCACTTAGTATATTTACCTAGGTTAGAGAATTTAATGGTGGTTTTTCCGGTTACTAGTTGAAAATATTGATTATATTCATTTTGCAGGCATGGCGTCAGGAAAGCAGAGCGGCTTGAGTCTTCCTATCAATATCAATTTGGAGTCATTTCTAAGGTAAAATTTTCAAAATTTGAGGCAATTCTGCCAAAAAACCTAACATCATTATAAAAAAGAGAAGATTCGATAACAGATGCTCAAGTAAAAATAATGGTTATATTTTGTTTTTATTTTATGGTTTATAGCTTCTTGTCTTCGCTAAGGGGAATAGGGTCTACCCCTCTGATCTACCTCAGTGCAGCGTTACTAGGATATACCTCCAAGAGCAACTCTGATCAGTGCACAAACACATTTCCAAACTGCCCCTCAGATCCTGACAAGTTGGTACAGTACCTCAACCAACACAATGGAGGATTTTTCAGGTAAGGCGCGGTAGTTACGTTACAACAGAATATACAGGGTGATAAGAAAACCATCAGCAATGCTTCTCCTTCCACCAAGAAATAGCGCACAATAGGTACAATTCCCAATAGGCACCTTTATCCTCTATACTATAGCCTCCCTTACTCTGAAAGCCATGAAACTAGATCTGGCAACATTGCATGGCGTTCGCTTAGTGGGTCTATTGTGAATTGTCGAGGATATGAGGATACATATTTTTGTATGGGTCTAAGGGAGGAAAATAATCAATGAAACAAAATTGTTATAGAAGAACGGTTTAATAGAAAAACTATCAATTGGTATATGTTTTTCACCTAGAACCAATCGCTTATTGCATACAAATATTAATTATTTATAAGCTAGGATGTCAAAGTCTTTTCTTGTCACTTTTTTCTTTGTGGCACAAGTTGTTTTTCTTTTTTGTAAAGTTATTTAATAAAATATTACATATAATGAATGTTGCAGCAGTATATATTTTCTTATGGGGCATACCACATTCACAAATAATCTTGAGGTCAATGAATACATCTGATTCTAAACTTTCCACAATTAGTGTAGGTACCTAAAATAGTTTTATGATCTAATCGGGCAAATAACATTTTCAAAGTATTTTCATGATCAATTATATAAGTAAAAATGGCACAGGCATGATGATAGATATATCCTATCTCATCAGCTGGAATACAAAGACCTCCTCTTTGTAAATAATCAAAATAATCTAATTCCAACATGACACCTTTGCTCCTAATTAGTTTTTCCTACCCCACCAATCATGCACTATTTGTAGAAAATTTGCTGTGCTGCTGTAACTACTGCAAGTTTTAAGGGCAGCGATTGTGGATTCATGGAAAACATTATTTGCCAAAACTACACTTTGTCTTTCTAAATTATTGGGATATAATGTTTTATCATTTAATTTGTAAGCCAACTTAGTTAATTTTTCTATTTCATTCTTATAAAAGCTAATATTTTCAAATGAAGCTTTTTCTTGAACATCAAAATTATTATAATTTGGATACAGAAATGTATGCTCAAAATTTTTCAAATTCAACCAGTTATGATATATATTTTTAAATATGTGGACAAAATGAAATAGTGTAAAAATTTTTTCTGCAGGATCTGATGGATTTGAAAAATATACATCACCATTACAGAGACACCTAAAAACTTTTTGATTTACTCTATTGTTATCAGTGATTACACACAACACTTTAAACCCCTCCATTTGTATATGTATCTGATTACATCTAACACTATTTGGGACAAATCATCAGCTGGCATATTATTCACTGGTACAAGACGTACAACTTCTTTAAAATTGGCAAATGCAGACGATATCATGAATGTCTGAACTGTTTTGGCTAGCTTACTTGGATCATTCTCAGCAAACCCAGTCACATTCTTTGCTTTATACTGTAAACCAGTTTTTACATAAATTTCATCAATTAAAAGGCATACAATTTTCTCTCTATCTGAGAGATTTGAAGCTGCATGTTGAAAGTAACTATTTTTTCTCTCTTTGTCTAAAATTGGTGAAACATTAAAGTCTGAAGAAATTTGCTTTAAACGTCTACTCGTATGGAGAATTAATAATCTCTAATATGTTCGTATGTTGAAGATGACATTGAAAATAATCAATGAAAAAATTAATATTATATACATTTTTCGATGTAATGAGAGAAAGCTGGTCCCTTAAAAGTTCTAAAGTTGTGAGATGTTTAATGTTTTGTTGATTTAAGATTGCAATTGCTGATATCAGATGTTCATGTGCCTTTTTCAAATGAAAAGTACCATCCTAGTCAGTATGCTGAGCAAAACTATACCTTGTCAATAAATTTTCAATCTGAGACCATCTTTGAAGCTTCCGCTCTGGTAAAATCCACCTTAAGTCATTAGGAGATAGCACACAGTCAGCATTTAACAAATAAAAATAAAACACTTCACCACAATTTTTCAAGCACCAGTTTTTCAGCACTGTTTTTGTCTGCCCAAGTAATTTGAATTCATCAAAGTCTACAATCAAGTCATCATTTAAAAATGCCTCAATTTGATCAGTTTCTCTTTGGATGCATTCTTTTTGTCGTTCCTCTGGATCTCGACGTGCTTTTGGCTCTGGAGTACTCATATATTTTGGTAAGTTTGCAAATATATGGGGTACAGCTCCTCTTTTCAATGTTGGCCGTGCTAGAGGGCGTTCTTGAAAAACACTGTCCTTAAAAACCTCAAAGCGCCTTATTTCACCTTCTGTAAAATGCTTGCAGCATACCACTGAATGTTTTGTTATGGAATAGTTGTCACGGTGAATGGCCTTCAGCCATAACTTTTGATGGGATTCTTCATTTGGAAAACAAAAAGTTGTTTGTAATTCTTCATTTTTCAGGGTACTTTTATAATTAGATTTGCAGCCTGGCACGCATAACCTAGCCATCTGAAAATGAAAAAAATACTATATAAATTTTGTTCTTGGTTCGAATAACACGTTATAGGTTCTTGAAATTATTATATCTGATGAAATGCAGTACTGTATTAATATTAATTTATACTTACATTCAAACAATTATGAGAAGCTGATTGAAAACAGATCTTTACAAATCTACAGCGTACAGTGCTGCCACGCTTCTACCCACCAATGTCGGTAGATCTCAAAAAATAAATCGGTAGGTTTCGGTTTAAAATCGGTAGATAGCCGGTTGCGCCATAGGCTTCCCCTAGAACGCTTTTAACAGATAAAAAATGAGGTTAAGCAATAAGCAAGCTTTTTCTACGAATTTTTTTTTATATATCTAATCAGCAGTTTTTCTTCAATTTTTTTTTTAGGTATTTGAGCAATGGAAAACAAATACTTTATGAAGCAATGAAAAACAAATACTTTATGAATAAATATATTTTATTCATTACTGATCAGTTTCGGGTATCAGAAGTACACAAAGAATCTAAATATACATTGTTAACGTAATAAAACAAGAACAACAGAACAATATAAATCGATAATTATTAAGTTGTTTAGTCATTTTCACTCTCTTCAATACCTTTTAGTGTTTTACTATCCATTTTTAAAATAAGTTCTTTGCTTATTTTAAAATTGAAACACTTATTATTACCTAAGTACTGTTTAGTATGTACTAATCCCGTAATTGTCTTTGTATTTAAAGAATTTCTTTGTTTCGTTTTCATTAGGTTAATTTCTGAGAACCTTCTTTCAACATTGGCGGAAGAATGGGGTAAACACAATATATTAAAAGCGAATTGGCTTAAAATTGGAAACAAAGGCGTATCGTCACCTAAGCGATATTCACTTACTTCCTGCCAAAATGTCTCGACTTGATTAGATAATTTTACAATATCGGTATTACGCAAAAGACGCCATTCGTTATCAAGTGATTGAAGCGCTTCTTCCTTAATTAAGTTTGGAAAAATCCTGGCCACATCTGAAATAGAAGGTATAACTCCTGTTTTGACATTTACGGGATCGAGAAAACTAAACAATTTAATTGGATTATTTTTAAGCGGGAAACGAGTAAGGATTTGATCACAACTTTCAATATAAAACTCTAAACATCTAAGCCTAAAAAAATGTATTTGCTCGCTGGATATTGTAATTTCTGATAATGTTTTTGCCACATTAGCTCCAAAATAAACATTTTCTATTGGTAAGTAATTTCTGGGATTTTTGTAGTCAATATTCTCTAGAGATGTTGATGTTAAATAATCGCGGTTTAAATAACAATCAAACATGGTTTTTAAAACAGTGGATATGTTTTTATATATAACATGTATTCTTGGGCTCTCTGCTTGCATATCCTTATTTAAATTATTGAAAAAAGGCAAAGCAAAATCTAAAAATTGCAAAAATAAGAGAGTAGTAGGGTCGTTTAACCTTTTCAAAATTTGATTCGTAGCTAAAACATCATTTTGGAAAACAGCGTCAGTAAAGTATAATTTTAATGGATTGTATTGTTCTAAAATACGACTTACTACACTTTGAACAGAAAGCCATCTAGTCTGTGATGGGTGCAGAATTTTATGTGTTTTTATGTTACAAAAAGCCTGAAAGTCACGGAATTCTGAAGTTCTTTTTGGGCTAGAATTAAAATAATTATGAATATCCCTCACAAGATCCTCGACAAACCTTGGTATTTTTTGTGAAGCGTAAGAAGCGCAAAGGTGGAATGAATGGCATATGCACTTCATCACAAACAAAAAAGGAATATCTTTCTTTAAAAGTACCATTAATGAATTAGTTTTGCCCATCATGACATTAGCCCCATCCGCAGAAAATCCAATTAAATTATTTTTATACAGAATATTGTTAGTTTTAAAAAGGTCTATAACAACGTTATATAAAGTTTTTGCATCAGCATTTGATAAAGGTAATAGAGCAAAAAATTTGTCTTTTATTACATTATTTTTTCGATACCTCACTACGGAACAAAGATGCTTAGTGGTGCTAACATCCGTCGATTCATCTACTATTAATGAGAACTTATTTTGCCTTAGATCTTCGCAAACGTTCAAAAATTCTTCCTGGCCAATTACATTTTTTACAATCGACGTTGTTTTGGTTCTGCTAGAAGCCAAACCACGAGCAATTTCGGAATCAGAACATATATTTTTTATTAGATCAGGCAAATGCTCCATAACGGTAAATGGAAGATTATGTTGAGCTACAAACGCCGCCAGCCGTATCTCAGCTAAAAAATGATGGAATAGAATAAAAAAACCTTGCCACAATTATAATGTTACAATGATCGATGCACGTAGTACTATATCATATTGTTAAATGATGCAATTTTATACAACAATGTTGAACAGTGCGGACGTGTTATACAACATGTAATATAGTCTGGATGCACCTTAAGACAAAAGGTGGAGAAAGTCACGTGATGGGCCTGGAGGAAGGAAATAGAGCTTCCAGTAGCATTCCGACATCCAATAGAAAATATATTTTGAGCATTGTAATTAATCTTGTACTACATTTTATAACAGGTACTGCACATAAGTGCATCAATCATTGGGAATTACCAAATAGAAAAACGTAAGTATACCTTCTTTGGTGTCTTGAGCCCTTTGCCTCCTTTTTGTGTCTGTAACAAATTTAGTCATGGACGGTTGATTTTTGATAGATTTTACATTTTGTTCGTGGATTTTTCGCTGTGTATGTTTTATAAGTGAGTCCTTTCCACTGGATATATTAATATCTTTATTGCATGCCTTGCAGAATCCAAAATTTTACCCTTTTTGGCTTTTAATAAGCCAACCTGTGAAGCGTGGTTCTTTCTCCCAATCTGATTTGTAGGACTGACTGTATTTCATCTTCTTTTTTAAACCGTAACTGGTTCCTTCACCTCCACTATCAGCACTGTCACTATCACTATCCATATTTGTTTAATAAAAATTAAAATCCAGAAAAAAACAAAATTTATATCAGAGAATATAAATGTAATCACTACTCTTCAACATACTTCTAAACAGCCAACACCAACAGAGTATTAATAATATAAATCGTGTTTCGACTATCGCGTCCTGCTGGTGTTAGCCAGGGGAATACCCGAGTCGCGTCGGGGAATTACCAAATAAATTGTATTTTGTAGAAATCAGTTATCGGTATTTATTTTACGATTTGGACGTGTACCACTAGATGTCGCTAAATATAAGAAAAGAAGAATAAACTGGGATGTTTTAAGCAAACTACAGAATATTTATAAGTAGCTTAGAGGGTAAAACATATTATTGTAATTTAAAAATATGCATATTTAGAAACAAAAAAAATCGGGAGATTTTTCATTAGAATCGGTAGATCGGTAGATCTCTTCTAAAATCGGTAGATCTACCGATAAATCGGTAGAGGTGGCAGCACTAGTACAAATCAATTCACGTGCGGTCCAAATCACAATCACAAATGGAGCAAGACCACAGCAAAACACAAACACGAACAAAATGGACGAGATTGGCGATAGACCCACACGCGGCGTTGCCAGATGTATGCTTCATGGCTTTCAGTGAAGGAGGCTGTGTCTATACCCAAAGCGAACTCCCATTTTGTAATTGATTCTAAAAATATAAGATAAATAGCCAAAATTATATTTGAAAGCGTATATTATGTATGAAAAAACTTTGCAAGGTGGAAAACGCTATTGGGAAAAGCATTGGAAGGAGACATACGTTAATACAAAAAAAGAATATCAGCTATTTTTGAACAGACCTCGTACCTTATCCTCAAGTGACAGTAACAGAGGATAATATTATAATAATTATTTTTCAGATTCTTCAGTGGAATCAACCCACCGATAGGGTTAAGCCAAAATTTCCGAACAGCTAAAGAAAGTTCACACACACTTGTTCCCTATCATAAGAAATACCTGGAAACTTCAGCAGAAAAAAGGATCCAAACCCGACCTGCGGTATATATACCATTAATCAGAGACGAAGAAGGTCTTGTTTTTGATTCTAAGGATCCTAAGAGAGACCCAAAAAGCCTAAGATTTCCTCCAGAGGTTACCAGTCTTCAGTATTTGGAATCTACGAAAACTGTACAGTTTTTACCAGATGACCACGACTACGAATATTCTCAAAATCCATACAGGTAATATAGCTTAGAGTGGTAGATTGAATTTCGGACAATTTATAGAAATGCCTGAAATTTTATGTTTATACCAAGTTTGAAATCGATTGTTGTAACTTTCCCGTATCACTACATTTTTACCAGAAGTCATGAAATTTGCGGATATTGGAAACATTATCGCAAAATTTGACCAAGTATCTTCGTTTCCGAAATATTTAGCTCGAAAGATGATAAGCCCGTGGCTCACGGATTATTGTTATTATCCCTACCTCAACCGAAGCATCGGATTCGGCTTAAGCTTCGGCCACATTTGGCCAAAATTACCTCTTCGTCCCAGAAACGAAGGAAACAAAAATTCAAATAAACTTGATAGGCTTTCATAATTACACCTTAACTTATTTTCTGTAAAATAATAAAACGTTCCATACGAACTTTTTTTAATTACCTTTATTGCAAGATATAATTTTAAAATGTTTCATTCAATCGATCGCTTCATAAGTAGCTTTGTGTATATGTACTTCTTTTTAAATCCCTGTTTGATATGAAATCTTTTTCTATTAAAAAAATACCTTTCTTATTCACTATCATAGCTTGGATTATACAAATTTGTAGGTACCGCTTTTTGATGTACTCGTATATCGTATACACCTTCGGAAAAACCATTATTATACATTATGATGAGGAAGACAGATGGAAATATACAAAAGTATGTAGGTGCCTGCCGCTTAGACGGATGCGCTCAACAAATGCGATTTGTTTCTCCCATTCGCAGAGTTGCCGATCCAATATGTCATATTTCTAAGAAATCTAATTCTACCCAAATTTCGGGAAAAATAGCTGCGGATTCCACATAAGAGTATTCCAAAAATGAAAAAAGTTCAAACTATTAAAATTGTATTAATGTTTCATGGTTCAAATCATATTTTTCATGTTTGTATATTGTTGTATGGGGCGATTTGACAACTTTGAAGGACAACTATAACGGGTAATATGGTTCCCGGTATTCGGGAATCTGGCAATACCTGATGATTCCTAACGTTTATTACGCCAGATTGTTTGCTGACTTGCGCAGTACAACATGACAATCAACGTGACTGAGCACCTGGTAACCCTGGTTTAAGGTGTTATATTTAAAGAGCTTGGGGCAGTTAGGTATCTAGGTTACATTTTTTAATGTATTTCGAGAAATCCGTAATGTTGAGTAAATACTAGATCACGTTTCTTGCTTAGTTTGCTGAAAATTCTACGATAGACGTACATTTTGAGAAACAGAGATTTGGTGACGACAAAATCGTAAAAATATAACGCATTTTCGTAAAATAATTTCTTTGTTGAAAAGACTGTGGCTTGATGACCCATTGAACGAGTATAGTGTTCCGCTCCGCTTTGAATATTCGAAACACTATACTCCAGCAGCATTCAGCTTCAATGTTATCTTTATGAAGTTCTAACGTCTAGGCCATGCTGATTAAAAGCTTGAATGAATCAACACTTAACTCTAAATTCCCCACAATTCGGGAAGCTCTACTCAAATTGGCAACACAGCGTATCTGCCTATTATTCTCATTCGTGATACAGGTCTGCGGTCTGCTGCAAATTTCAGTATGCGTTGAGTCGACAGAAGAAGTACAGTAGATGCGCGCATTACGCACCAGTTCGATTGGACGTCCTGTGAACCGATTTCGGTGATTTCGAGATTTCACGAAATCACCTAAATCACTCTACTTATTTTTATGAATGGATAATTGGTTTTGTAGCAATAAAGGTTGCGTCTCATAACAAAAATAAGAAGATACCCACTCTAACAAAAAATAGTACACTCTTAAAAATGTGTAACGAAAATAAAAGGATATTCTAACAAAAAAATAAGTTCTCAAAAATAAAACGCAATAATGAACACAAATGTTTCAAATGGTCCTTCACAGCTGGGGCTCAAAAACGTCTCCTTCATTCAATGAACAGTATGTCAGGCGGTTATAAAACTCCTGACGAACTCTCAAGATATAATAGAAGTGCTTGATTGTTTTAGCATTTGCACCAATTACTTGATTTGTTTAATGGACAGTTCAGAGTCTTAATCCTTAAACTTAGTACACACTTGTAGGCCTCGTTGCATAACTTGCCTATAGGCAGACTGAAAACGGTCTCAGGACACGATCAGATGCTCTATAGACATCCTTCTTTGTCTCGTCTACGGTCCATACGATAATGTGAATTTTTCGGTCTCATGTTCGTTGTTTTGTGTGGAATGGACTGGGACATGTCTCGGGGTTTCTCATAATGTTTTTTTTTTGTTAACAGAGCAATTAAGTTTTAATATTATTACACTAGTTAGTTATAAATGCCACGTACTTATTTTGTAGTCATTTAATAAAATTTTGCCTTTCTGACGATTTCTGAGCAATTTCCATGTTTTTTTTCAAGCTGGCATTGACCAGATAGAACACAATGGATTAAAAGAGGAGAGAATAGTAGGTTAAATTCTAGAACTTTCACTGAGGATGAAAAAAGACCAGCCTCAAATATCGTTTGCACCCCCCCCCCTAGACCAAATCCTAAATCCGCCCTTGGCGACCAGATTAGTAAAATAATAATTACTTGAAATATTTTTCATTTTAGGACGCCAAAGGAACTGTACTACGATTCATATAACCCAAATGATCTTGACCTTCAAAGACCATCGCCAAATCACAGACCATCGACAATGATTTTCCCTACCAGAACAGGAACAGGGGAATTGAAGCTTGACCCAGAAGAGCTAAATGTCAAGAATGAGCCAATCTATTTTGATGAACACCGAGATAATACGAACATCAAATTTCAATCTGGACTAGAATACACACCTAGTAATGACGAAAATTGGAATTATAGGGATGTAAAATCAATATTCACGTTTCCCAGCTAGAATATCTATTTTGTTATAGAGCCAGAAATTTTGAATACAATAATATAGATTTTCAGATGTAATTTTAAATAGATATTTATCGTGGTCATTCACGGGGAAGGAAGGGACAGATAAGACCGTGACCCGCCTTTGAGAAACCAGCTGGTTCCTAAAAGATGCATATTTAGCAAAGTTTTGTGTGAAACATTAAAAATTTTTGAGATTTTCGGCCGATATACCATACACATACCAATCATCCTCCCATGCTCTTCAAACCACTGATTAGCGATGGCTCGAGTCACAAAACACATGACTGAAGAAGTGGGAGCTGCACGTTAAACAATGGCAACACCGCTGACGTTTTGTCGGATGGTTGCGCCGCCTACCTCCCTGGAGATCTGGAGGAACTATCGAAGGAATTTCAAGAATGCGCCGGGAGATTAGGAATGCTAGGAATGTGCCTAGGATTTAGTTTGTTTACAATTTAAAATCTGCTGAAAGTGATATTTCCCATATTGAAGAAATATTTTATGAGCATAGATGCATAAAATATCCTCAATAAAGGAAATACCTGATTCAGCAGTTTTGCTGGTAACCAATTTTGGGATACTAAAAAATAAATGCGTAATTAATAAAATATTTATTAAATAGTTAACTATATGAATAATAATAAGTAATAATTTATTATCACCGTACATTGAGAATATATAAAGGTATTTTTAGAATCGGGAGCTTTCTCTATATTATTAAGGGAATAAGTGATGTTTCAAAAAAAAATACAAATCATACATTAATAGCATAAAAAACGATAAAAAGGGACCCTCAGTAATCAAAGGAAGTGTTTAGCAAGACGATGCAAGCACTACCTATTGTTAATCCATCATCAGGTATATTTATCACTGAAACGTAAACATTCATACTAAAACAACAAAAACTAAATCTCTGTAGTTAAATAAATAACTGAAATAAAAATATATTATTATTTTTTGTTTTATTTAAAGAAGGAATCAAAGTTAAAAATAAACATGACATTCTCATACTTAAAACCAAAAGCTCCTGATCGCTTTAAGATTACAGGAAGTAACAAAATAAATAATTATTCTTCGTCCAACTGCTCCCTCCCAAGGATGTTGCAGCCATGAAACAAACAAAATATTATTTAGGTATAATATCACAGTAGTATTTGGTTAATGAAAGTAAATACAAAATTCAATGAATGAAGTGTGCTGGACTACATAAAAAAGCATTACCTGACTTAAGCTGTCTTGAATTTCTTATTTGTTGATATATGACAATTAATAGTCTCACCACTCCTTTTCAAAGAATTTCTCTTTACATGTTTGTAAATTCCCAACCGAGCAGTTTTTTCAATTATATATATCATGCTGCTGACAAAAGCTATAATTATGAAAGACGCAGGAATACTTCCGTTAAAATTTATCTTCCACTTGGTCTTCTGTACCATGCTCCTCCAAAAATGCATACAACTTTTCATCCAGAAGACCAATCAGGTTAATTAAATCTTCACTTGCATACTTCAATCGCTTTTCCTCATCATGCTCTTTAAACGTCACAAATATACTAAGTGACATATAAATCTGAACACCCAGTTTAAATGGTTTTATTTTAATAAAATTTTGTATAAGTACTTAATGAAGCATAATAAGTAAATGATAAAAATTTCAAAATGATTGCACTGCTTTAAAGCCCTTTGACCTTTAATAATGTGTGGATGCTCCCTGATGTGCTACGCATTCTCCAACGCGCCTAGGCATGCTTCTGATCAGGTGGTCAATGTCCTCCTGCGGTATCTCATTCCAGGCAACCACCAACTCATCTCGAAGTGCTTCTAGAGTCTGCGGAGGACGTTGCAAATTGAGCAATCTCCTACCCATCATATCCCACACGTGCTCAATTGGGGATAAGTCGGGAAATCTTGGTGGCCATGGTAACAATGTGACATCACTATGTTGAAAGAAGTCTACTGTGACTCTTGCAACATGTGGTCGGGCATTATCTTGTTGGAAAGTTGGATCTGCCAGGGTGTCAAGATAGGCTAAAAGATGAGGTTCTAGAACTTCGTGGATATAACGCTGCGCATTCATGTTACCTCTGATGAAGATTAAAGGTGACCTGGAACCATAAGCTATAGCACCCCAAACCATAACTCCAACAGTGTGATGAACATGCCTTTCAACAAAAAACTGTGGATTCCTCCTTTCACCACGTCGCCTTCTAACCCTGCCACGAACCATTTAAACTGGGTGTTCGCATTTATATGTCACTTAGTATAGATGTTTTTCAGTGACAACCAAAGAAAATAACCTTGCACAGGATTCACAATTACTATCAATTTTGAGCTTGTCCAAAATGTACCAAGCCACATTACCATTTGAAAGATTCCATTCAACAGAACTGTCCATTATTCCATGTCAGAGTCACTTAGAATCTCAGGGTCTAAATCAAGCGCTGCATCATTACTTTGGTCATATTTATCCAAAAAGTCATTGAAATCGACCAGTAGTATCACACAAATCGATTTCACAATCACCTTTAGAAAAAGGTGTGCTGAAATTATTAATAACTACTATTTTTCAGGCAGCAACAACTGATGACAGGTGGGATTTGTATTGAAGATACCATGCTGTCTTACTTAACCAAATAAATTTTCCTGGGAATCTTGATTTAAATTTCTCAAACAAAGATATTTCAAGCCCTTCTCCTTAAGATCCCTCATAGTGACATAACAGATCTAACTGTTATTTGCCTGCCTTCAACAAATTTGAAATAGTTTGATTTGTCAACCCCAGCGACAATGAAAATTGATTTTAATTTGGATAGCCTTGAGCAAACATTCCGGTGGACTTTATACATAATTGATTCCTTAGGGCTCAATTCCTTATTTGATGTACCAGATTTTGTTCATATGCCAGAGGCCTTCTAACAAAAATGAATATTTATCTAAATAATTAGATTCTGTTCTAGAACCACTTCCACTGATTTCAATGTTTGGATCTTCCAGAATAACAAGGGAATTTTCATTTTGCTCAGAAGGGGTTGGATTTGTGGTAGCCTCTCCAGGTTTAGTAGGCTGACTATTATTTGAATTTAAAACTGTATTGAGGTACAGTGGTATGGCAAGATATCTGTGACGTGAAGAATCTTGCGGATTACTACGATCAAACCTTGAAAAATGATCCTCAGAAACATAATAATTGGAAACTTTACGAGTGGGAGATATCTTACCACCTGCCTTCCATGCAGCAACAGTTTTTTCATCTTTTGAAAAATGATGGAATACTTTATTTTTGTATATACAAGAAGATTTCCGAACAATGTGGAAATAGGAATTTTTGCAAGATGGATACAGGGTGGCCCATAAGTCGTTTGAGCTGGAAAAAAAGGAATAAAACCAAACTAGTTACATTATGAAGAATTATTATATTTTATTATCATCTTTATTGAATGGGAATTATGTTTTAAAAATCACATCGTCTAAATGCAATCCCGGCACTCATATAAACGACGTCTAAAATTATCGATGACTGCGCGGCAAGTCAACACTGTAATGCTTGCCATTTCTCTTCGGATATTTTCTTTCAGGACATCAACTGATCGCGGAGTGGTGTCGTACACTTTACTCTTGAGGTAGCCCCATAAAAAGAAGTCCATTGGGGTCAAATCTGGACTACGTGGTGGCCAGGAAATGTCTCCTCTTCGAGAAATTACTTTGCTGGGAAAAAGTTGACAGACGACGGGCGTAGAAGTGTTGGAGGTGTGGGCAGTTACTCCGTCCTGTTGAAACCAGGTCTGCGTATTATAGCCTGGAAAATTCTGCAACGCTGGTGTCAAAAACTCTTCTATCATTGCTACATACCGCTCCGAAGTAACAGTTAATGCGCGACCTCTGTCGTCCTCAAAAAAATAAGGGCCTACGATGCCATGCGCGGACATAGCAGCCCAAACTGTAACTTTAGGGCTGTTTAAGGGCTTCTGATGCCTACGCCTTGGATTTTCGGGGCTCCAATAACGGCAATTTTGTTTATTTACATGCCCGTTTAAATGGAAGTGAGCCTCGTCCGAGAACAACACATTATTGAGCGAAGAAAATCGATTCAACATTTCATTTGCAAAGTTTAGTCTCTGAATAGCGTCATTATCTTTCAATTCCTGCACTAACTGAATTTTGTAAGCGTGCAGACGTAAATATTTCCTTAAAATCCGCTGTAAAGATGTTCTGGGTACGTTTAGTGCACTGGAACGCTTACGAGTAGACTGGGTAGGATTTTGACGAACAGACTGTGCCACAATGTTGACGTTTTCTTCAATACGAGTTGTCCTTGGTCGACCTCACCGCTGTTTATCTAACGTCGAACCAGTCTCTTCGAACTTAGCAACCCAGTTCTTAATCGTTTGAGCTGTTGGACACTTTGTAAAATTGTGTAAATTGTGGTATTCTCGATATTTACGCCGCGCAATGGTTGCCGAATCATTATTTTGATAAAACGCGCGCACACAAAAAGCACGATCCGCTCCAGTGAAACACTCCATGGCGACTGAATTCCCAGACACTGAAGATACTGCCCCCACCTCGCCCGCGCCGCTCTCGCTCACCCGCTAAATTTTATTCAAATTTGAAATTTCAAAGGACTTATGGACCACCCTGTATTTGCATGAGTACTTTAAAGTAACGATGTATGAAGAGGCAACCCAAAATCCAAACATGACTGATTTACAAAAGAGAAACAAGCTTATTGAAGTATGCAATCTTAAGTATTCCTGCACACAATCACAAGTGTTTTACTTTAAAGAATACATGACAAAAGTTATTATTACTATTATTATATGAAGATTATGAACGATAATTTCTCTATAAGTAATTAAATCGATAAGTAAAAATTTAATGTGTAACTTACCCGATTCAAAACACAGATTGAAAACAAACTTAACAGAAACACCTGACCATTTTATTACTCGTTGCTTATGGCAAGATAAATCGATATGTAAAAAATTCTTGCATTCTGATGAACATACGTAGGTGTTTACCTATTTTCTCACTCGGTATATTTTTCCATTACAGATTAAACACATTTATATTATTTCGCTGTACCTACGTATGTTTTGATTTAACTTGTTGAAATGTTATACACTTTTTTGCAATTGTAATGTCCTTATTTATTTTATATTTATACTTACGTATCTTCGGGCATATTTGCTCAAACGCATATGCGACCCTCAGCTTCATAAGTCTTATATTATGTAACATGATCTAATAAGACAATAAACGATCTATCTCTAAGTGCTTATTATACGAAAAATCATTTTCAGGAAAAAACATTTTAACAGGGTAAAGATTTATTTTACTTTTGGTACAAAAAATTATAAAAACGAACATAATTTTATCAACTAACCAATAAATTACATTGATTCAATACATGGATGAAATGAGGCTATTTGGTAACCCCCAACTGTGAGCTTTGAACGTCACATCATAAAATTCCCCTATAAAAGGGGGCAAGTATCATCATAACATCTGGTCAAGAGCCCAGAAGCATTGAGAAAGCTCTCTTCTTGTAGCAGATAAAGTTCTTACAATACCAGTATACAAATGTGCAGTGCTTTTCCCTTCCACTTACTTTTTGAACTAGTTAATTTAATGTGACATTTGAAACTTATCATGTGGCTTGCTTGTCGATAATTCCCCATATTTCTCTGGTCAATCGAAAATACATGTGTTGAAAAAATCTTTCTGAGACCGTTGTGACCGAAACGCTTACAATAAAGAAGATTTTGTCAGTACATGTGGTTTAGATTGGCCAGAGAAACATGAAGGATTAACTAAAAGTTATAAAATTGGTGCACGACTACTATATTTCAGCGTAAGAGTGGAAATTAAAAATATCAAGATGATGGCTAGACTTCGAATGAAGGGGTTATGTGATAATTCATTTTTAAGCCCTTTGTGGGTATCGTATAAACCTAGATTATATTTTTTCTATTTTTTAAAATAGGGCAGCGATATGCTGTTAAAGCTGGGCATTACAACAATACCTACATGAATATCGTATAAAAAATAGGACATACCGTTTGTATGATGTCACTATTTTGTAAAACGGAATTTCCGTATTTTATTACGTATTCGGATATTGAAAGTTAGTGATTTTGTGTCCGTCGTCGAGTTAAAAAGTTCTTTTAACTACCTTCAAAATAAGCTATGAAATGACTTCCTTTTCCATATAAAAAATCTTGTAATTTTCAACTGCCACATTTACGCTAAAGTATAGTACAGGGTAGGCCATTTACAGTGGAAGTATTTGTTTATAAAACAAAAACACATTAAAAAAATATTCTTTGTTGCTCATTTGAAAAGTCTGTTATTTTGATCCAACCAGATTTGTTGTAATTACTTTTCACAAATGATATCCCGCAAATGGCCACCTCTGGTCTTTATGACCAAATGTGCCCTTTTTTCGGCGTTTTCGTCACGTTGGCCAATGTTTCGGCGGATATGGCGGCAATTTCTTGACGAATATTATTCTTGAGGTACCAGTTAGAGTCCTTGGCTTGTTAGCGTATACCTTGGATTTCAAATAGCTCACAAATAAAGGTCTGGTGGCGTCAAATCAGGTGATCTCGGTGGCCAGTCAAAATCGCCATTTTTCGATATCAGTCGTCCAAGGACCAATTAGCGTAAAAAACCACCACCATCGTGGCCCGATGACCATATTCGCGCACATACCGCACCAGACAGTAATTTTTTGGCAATAAAGAGGCTGCTGTTCGGTTCATTGAGAGTTTTCGGTAGCATAAAACCGACAATTTTGTTTACTTACGCCTCCATATAACGAAAAATGTGCCTCGTCGGACATGATGATTTTTCGCCAAAAGTCATCTTCATTTTCGGCCATTTCAATGCTCCATTTAGCAAAAACAAAGCGACACGGATAATCAGCTGGGTTTAGTTGATGAGCCATTTGAATTTTGTATGGAAACATCTTCAAATCCTTACGAATTATGGGTCGGAGAGTGGTTCGAGCGATGCCTAACTCTTGAGAACGATGACGACCGGATGTTGATGGAGTCTCTTCAACACTGGCTCGTACGACTTCGATATTTTCATCGGAACGTCATTTTGTTCGTTGTCTGGATAGGTGACTGGCATTACTAAGACTACCGGTGTTCACAAATTTCGCGTATAAACGTCTGATAGTGTTATCAACTGGAGCACTTTTAACTTTATTTTTTTTACGAAACGCACGTTTACTTTTCACGATTGAGAAGTTCTTTGAATATACAACTTAATAATTTCAGCACGTTGTTTTGGTGTGTACTGTTCCATGGTGAAAATTGTACTGAAATTTCGCTTCCAATGCGGTATGACATTAGTCAATCTGTCAACTAATGTCAAAGATATAGGGTTGCTTGATGCTTCCACTTTAAATGGCCCACGTTGTATATATAAAAAATGATATGAAAAATGATATAAAAGCACTGTATGCCTATGTGAATGTTTTTTGAGAGTATCACTTACCAACCCAAAAATCAACTAAGCTTTAATTGAGCAATAACAACAATAACAATTCTAGTTGAGAACTTTGTGTTCAACATGTTCTATCAGTATTTCCCTACGATTGCTAAAAAAAATATTTGTAACATAACAGCATACTTTTCAGATTTTCTAAGCTATGCAGATGTTCTAAGGGTTAAAAAAAATCACGTTTCAAGAATGCAGTTTCGAGGAGACAATACAGAAAAAATATTTCTAGATGTATTTTAGAAAAATCGTTCTTAATATTTTTTTGAAGTATACCTTAGAATCATCTAGAATTTTAAAACAGCGAACATATTGAATCATTAAGTATACCACATGGCACTTTATTCTTCGCAAACCCTTCCTCTTTTCACAAGTTGGTTACAGAATCTTGGCGAAGCTATGAAATCTCCTAAAAAGACACTGAGCAGGTAGTACTCCTTCTGCTTTTCTTTGGAATTCTTGTAATGGCTGAAATAGTTGATAAGTGAAATAAACAATAGAATGGAAACAAATCCTAGGAAAAATAAAAAAATAAAGTAATGTAATAGTATAACCAAAATATACTAAGTGACATATAAATCCGAACACCCAGTTTAAATGGTTTTATTTTAATAAAAGTTGGCGAATGTATTTATCTTACTGTAAATAACAAGTGAAAAAATTTTCACCCTTATCAGTTGGACATTCCGGTTTTTATACTGCTTTTTTTTAATTCACTAACGCTCTAAAAATGAATATTTCAGCCGCAGTAAAGAATCAACGTTGGCGGATTTTGGTTCTTGACATCCTTTACGATCGGTTACGATGCCTAGAGTACGGAGACCTGTACAATTTCGTCAACTTAGTGAGTTTGATAGGGGCCGTATAGTGGGACTTCGGGAAGCTGGACTTTCTTTTCGGGCAATTGCAGTTAGAGTGCAAAGAAGTGTAGACACTGTGGTTAGGTGTTGTCAGGCATGACTTCGAGAAGGCCGTACGCAAAGAGCAAGGGGCACTGGACGCCGCCGTAGAACAACAGACCGTGAAGATCGCCGCCTAAGATTACTGGCCTTAAGGGACCGTTTCTCCACTACCAGGTCCATTGCAAATGAATGGTTTGCAGCACACGGAAGACCTATTGGCATGCGAAGTGTTTACCGACGAATGAGAAGTTTTGGCTTGTTTTCATACCGGCCACACTGGGTCCTCCCTTTAACTCGAGAACACCGACGTAATCGCCTTGAGTGGTGCAGACAACGATCACTTTGGGATCAGGAATGGAACAGTATTATCTTTAGTGACGAGTCTCGATTTTGTTTAGGCATGCACGATGGTCGTGCCAGGGTTAGAAGGCGACGTGGTGAAAGGAGGAATCCACAGTTTTTTGTTGAAAGACATGTTCATCACACTGTTGGAGTTATGATTTGGGGTGCTATAGCTTATGGTTCCAGGTCACCTTTAATCTTCATCAGAGGTAACATGAACGCGCAGCGTTATATCCACGAAGTTCTAGAACCCCATCTTTTACGATATCTTGACACCCTGGCAGATCCAACTTTCCAACAAGATAATGCCCGACCACATGTTGCAAGAGTCACAATAGACTTCTTTCAACATAATGATGTCACATTGTCACCATTGCAACCAAGATCTCCCGACTTATCCCCAAATTAGCACGTGTGGGATATGATGGGTAGGAGATTGCTCAATTTGCAACGTCCTCCTCAGACTCTAGAAGCACTTCGAGAGGAGTTGGTGGTTGCCTGGAATGAGATACCACAGCAGGACATTGACCACCTGATCAGAAGCATGCCTAGGCGCGTTGGAGAATGCGTAGCAGATCAGTGTGCATCCACACATTATTAAAGGTCAAAGGGCTTTAAAGCAGTGCAATGCATTTTGAAATTTTTATCATTTACTTATTATGCTTCATTAAGTACTTATACAAAATTTTATTAAAATAAAACCATTTAAACTGGGTGTTCGGATTTATATGTCACTTAGTGTAGTTCATATCTCTAGAAAAATCCGCTAATACTTTAATTGTCTACGCAATCTTTGAGTTTTCACGAACTGGCTGAATAGTTTAAAATTGACGAATAATTATTGCAAAGTTCATCGATTTAATGCAGAACTAACCCCTCGTGTATTTTTGTCGATTCTGCGTACTTTACTGCAGAGGATATGTTGATGCTTTTCATTTAATGCACACGCAAATTAATTTTGTAATATTTGTGGTAGCGAATACCGATTAACCTGAGTAGAACTTATTAAATAACATAACTTCTCGCTACATTTTTTTTCGAATAGATTGGATATGAATCATTCTTATTTTCAGCGAAAAAAGCATTCAGGCATACCCTGATTTGCAGTTTACTTTTAAAACTGGCTATGCAATATAAAAAATACCCCTCTATTCTTTGAAAGAAAATGTCGAATGTTTAAATAAATTTCTTCATTAAAAATAAATATTTTGTGCCAAAACGTTTAGATCATACGTTATTTGACTAGCTTTGTCAAATTGTTTGCCAGGATTTCGGGCATATTGTTCTTGTGAACCATCTTACATTTACATTACCACACTACAAGCGTGGTTACACTATTTGAAATAATTATTCATATCCACTTGTACTTGTAGCATGTAGTGGTTGGGCAAAACGTGTAAACTAGCAACTCATTGCTATATCAGCCTCGACCATAGAATCAATGCTGCCAGGCTCGTGAAGCAACTAAGAATGACCCTAATCCTGTTTCGCAAATTTTGAACTTAGTATGCTTTCAAAACAACAAGATCCCCCATGTTAGTATGTAAAAGGAATATTCAAACGTTTCAGAATGTAATACCATTTCTTGAAGTCGTAGTCCATCTACGCCCCGGCACAACAAAGAAGCAGCGCAGCAAAGCGGCAGCCGCCTAAGGGTGGCGATAGCTATATAGTAGTAGATTTGGAAACAACACCTGTTCGATATTCTGCTTGTATTAGTTTTCTTGAATACTATATGAAATAATAATTTCCAGGAAAAGGGAAACGATTTGTTATCTGTCACGTTGGCAGCGAAGATGACTTTGTGCCCACTGCTCTATGGGCATTTGAGCCAAAGACAACGACGACTACCATGAAGAAATGGAGTTCATTTGAACGATGGTTTGAAGAAACGCTCCTAAAGCTTGACGACAATGCCGTCATTGTACTTTATAATGCTGCATACCATACTAGAAAACTAGAAAAAATTCCCACAATGTCCACAAGAAAGGCAGAAATTCAACAATGGCGCCTATCAAAAGATATTAGTTTCAATGAAGATATGCTCAAAGTAGAACTTATCTAGTCAGGCAGCACAAATATAAATATAATCTTTATGTTATTGACTAAATGGCTAGAAACCAAAATAATACTGTTTCAAGGCTACCCCCTTATCTCTGCGAATTAAATCCCATTGAAATGCTTTGGGCAAAAATAAAAAAAAATTGTTTTATGAAGCTGTCAACAGAGTGACGGCAAGCCATTGGAAATATTGCATCCGTCACGTTCAAGAGACAATCGAAACAAAGATGTGGGATCTGGACAATATGATCCATATTCAAATTGAACCTATAAAATTAAAGAATTTAGAAAAGTATGTGCACTTCTTTCTATAAAAATAGTAATTTATTTTGTTCCAAGACTATTGAGGAAAATACGGACCTGAACAATCTCGCTATTGGGCATGTTGTGTTTTGTCTGGACGTGAATCGACTAAGGATGTTGTATAGATGCTTGTGACAGAACTATATTCTTTTTCCCTCATGCAAAATAAGAAGAATCATGTAAAAATGCTGTCTGAGACATACGCTTCTTCTGCATTAAAACAACGAATAGCAGCTCGATACTAAATAATACTGTAACGATAATACGAGCTGAGTACGGCGCTGGGTGAACCATCGGAACAGCAAACCTTTTCCGTTTGTTTTTCTTTGGGTATCATCCTTTATTATGTCTCTTGTGTTCCAGGAAATAAACGGATTCTTTTATGTACCGGTCAGAACGCTAGTGAATTGCAATCGAATTTTAAGGTTTTCCTGGGAGCGTATAAAAGTTCTTTTTCTAAAAAGTCAGGCGCATTCCCGTTTGCTGATGTCGGAGGAAACCGCAAGAAGTATTTGGACAGAAGGAATCTTTGTGAGAGGATATTTACTGCTTGCGTTCATATCCTTGCGTTTACAGGAAGCACGGGAGCATTTTTCTTGCTTTTCCAGAGACTTCACTCTAACGGAATCCATTTAATCGCATCTGACGTTTATTTTTCCATCTGATATTTATATAATTGCGGAAACCTCCCTATGGCAATGGGTAATTGCTACAATACAGGAGACATTGCAAAATTATTAAGTAATAAAAAATGTATTGCAATTTTAACCTAGACCTTTAGGGTATATGTATTTTGAGCTTTTATACACATTTTTCTTAATATTATGGTACTTGATTGTTTTTAAAAGCGCAAAGTTTCCAATTGTGGCATTTTTGTCCAAAATCCACCCATTTTTGAGTGTTTAACATAGTATTCTCATATGAGGGCATTTTAGCAAGAGTTTCTACTTTAAATCTATAATAAAACACACAAAGACACAGAAGATACATAAAAATGACTGTGTTGCTGCTTTTCACTAAAACAAAAATTGAACTAAATCAATACACAATTATAATAAGACCTTATTTTCAATGTGGCTGCAATGAAGCAACACTTCTATTTGTATATGTTACAGTTAAGACCCGTTTTCTCTAGCTAAAACTAGTTTCTATTATATGCCTATCTTGTAACGAGAATTTCCTAGTTATAACTGGCACGTACTTTTACATAGTTAAGACTAGTACTAGTTGAAGGGTTGAACATACAAAACGCGCTTTCCATAGTTACTCGTATAACTACAGGGTGGCCAATATACAGGGTTATCCAAATTAAGTGTCCACCATTAGTAACTTTGTTATTAGTGAAAATACAAAGTTGTTTGAATTAGCAAACTAGTAGCATTTTTAACGCTGGTAAAAATAAGAAATAAAAAAAACAATTGAGAGTCGTTATTTTGACTTTTTTCAGTAAAATAACATTTTTTTAAATGGAAACCCCTGTATATTATATTTTTTTCTGTTAAAGCATCAAATTTTAAACAAAAAAGTTCATAATGACTTTTCCGCTAAAGTCAAAAATAAAGTCAAAATAACGATAAATATTTTTAATTATTTGCAGTATTATAATATTAAGACGGCTATGAAAACAACATGGCGTTCGCGATTTGACAGCATTAAGATAAGCGACAAATTGTTAAACTGGACATACTCGCAACTAGAAGGCTTTGGAAAACAATGATAAAATCAAATAATGTCAAACATTAGTGTAAATACTTGTTTATAAGCTTTATTGTGTCATTAATTTAAAGAAAAATGTTCTCCCATGAAGAAAAGTGTGATATGTTAGAATGCTATTTAGTGTGCAGAAAATCCTCCTTGAGAGCAAGAGAATACTACAGTGAATTATATCCCGCTCGCATTCAACCGTATGAACGATATTTTCTGAGACTTTATCGAAAATTTAGGCATAACGAAAATGTTTTTGCTAAAACAAGGGCAAAAAAAGAATTCATAATAAGCGAGGCCACGGAAATTGCAGTTATTGGATATTTTGAAGCTTATCGTGAGAATTCAATAGCAGATATTCTCAAGGACTCTAATTTCAGTTATGGTACTGTTCAAAGGATTTTAAAAAAATACAAATTTATTCCGTATAAGTACCGACCAGTTCAAACGCTTTTGGCAGGGGATCCAGAGAGAAGACTTGTTTTTTGCCATTGGTATCTTAGCTTCTGTCGCCAAAATGTAAATAACTTTCGTTACCTTTTATGGACAGATGAATCAAATTTTTCAAATTCTGGAATGTTTAATAGAAAAAACCACCATTATTGGTCAAGAGAAAATCTTTTGTTAGTACATCCAAGAGGCCCACAAGTCCGTTTCAGTTTCAACGTTTGGTGCGGTATAATTGGTTCAAAAATTGTTGGCCCGTTCTTTTATGAGGGAACCTTAACTGGTGAAAGATATGTGGAATTTATGTCAGAAATTCTGACTAATTTCTTAGACGAATTGGATCTTATAAGTAGACATCATCTGCATTTTCAGCAAGATGGCGCACCTGCCCACAACTCCAGAGGTACTTATCATTTTCTAAGTACTACTTTTAATGATCAGTGGATAGGAACAAATGGCCCAATACAGTGGCCTCCCAGATCACCAGATCTAAACCCACTTGATTACTTCTTGTGGGGTTACTTAAAGAACCAAATTTACAAGCGAAGGTACGATAACCTTGACGCGTTAATGACTGCAGTTAGGGAAAAGATAACCCAGATAGATGGTAGGACCATACTTAAGACAGTTCGAGCAGTTGAAAAACGTGCCCAAAAATGTATTGAAGAACAAGGTGGTGTTTTCGAGCATCTTCTTTAAAAAAAATTGTTATTGTATTTTGTAAGATTATAAGTTGATGTTGAAAATAAACTTTGTCGATACAATTTAATTGTTTCAGATTGGAGGCCATAACTTCAACAATTTGTAACCTAGGAGAAAAGTTATTGTAAGCTTTTTTGTTTAAAATTTGATGCCTTAACAGAAAAAAATATAATATACAGGGGTTTCCATCTAAAAAAATGTTATTTTACTGAAAAAAATCAAAATAACGACTCTCAATTGTTTTTTTTTTATTTCTCATTTTTACCAGCGTTAAAAATGCTACTAGTTTGCTAATTCAAACAACTTTGTATTTTCACTAATAACAAAGTTACTAATGGTGGACACTTAATTTGGATAACCCTGTATAACTGACTGATTTAAATTGCGCGCCGTAGTAGTTGCTTAAAACACATGTGTCCAATTCATTATGGAGCGCTACGAGATCCCACAACACGTCCGTTCGGAAGCTACGACAAGATTTCGGTATAAATAATGTGCCCAGTGTCGACACAATTCTTCAGTTGGTGCGGAAATTTGAACAAACAGGTGAAGTTAAAGACTTGCCAAGGTTTGACCTGTTCGTACCACGGAAAATATCAAGAGAGTTCGTGAAAGTGCAGTGGAGCGCCCCGAGACGTCTACCAGACATCTTTTTTTTTTTTTTTTTTTTTTTTATATTCCAACTACCACGAAGGCCTAAGGCCTAAACACCCATTGGGTACCGTGAGGCTGTAGGGGGATACAGGGGAAAGGGGGAACGCCACACGGACTCTGGCGAGGGAACACGTGTGCATGCAACATGCACACATTCTGGCTCCGCCTACGAGATCCGCCGGGTGGTACCTCCACGTTCGACAGTCGGAGACCATCTACCACCTACGGACAATCACAACATCCATAGCCAAGAGAAAAATTTCTCCTGGGACGGGACTCGAACCCGCACAGCGCACGGCGACTGATCAGGAGACCGAAGAGTCTACTACTGCGGCCACCGCTGCTGCCTAAAACAAACACACAACATCCATGGCGAAGGCGAGATTCGAACTCGCGGCCCGGCCGGCCGGCTGATCAGTAGCACGACACTCTGACCCACGCGGCCAACCGAGGTCCCGTTCGTTCTCAAAAACTGGGTATTCGTCCCACGTCATTGTGCACTATTTTAAGAAAAGACTTGCATTTGCGGCCATACAAAATTAACGATATTTCTGGGACGTTTAATTTCTCGATTTGCTGATGTCAACTGGCCACCAAGGTCAAAGAATTTAACGGCTCTAAAATATTAATATGAAAAAAAGGGACGTATTTTATTGCATTTCACAAATATTAAAGATACAAACCAGTCAGTTACATATCAGCCACATTGTAGTGTTGTCTGATATTTATTTTAAGTAGCAGTTAGTCCTAGTTCTAATAAAGACATTTAGTAAAAACTAATTACAATTAAGGAAAACGCGTTGTTAGTGAAAACGGGTTCTGAATGTAACATGTACAGGGTTCCTGAAAGTTGTGATTTTCCTTTTCAGAGTCAACTGTACAAACAACAATAATCAAAGTCTTTCTATTGTCTATACACTGTTCTGTGCTCAGTTAATCGTTATTTTGTGATAAATCCGGTATACGAAATAAACCTGATAATTTCAAGGCCTACCTAGGAAGTCCTATATTTTGAGCAACTAAGGTTTAGCAATATCAATGTGTGTCATATTAGACATTTTTGGAATGAGAATTAAAAACTATATTTATTTGTGCGAAAATTCAATATGGCGTCTATAAGCAAAAATAAAGTTGATGATGGACTACGAGAAATGGAACGTCGTAATGAAATTCTGATTATGCCATTTTGTTACTAAAAAGAACATGTTTATTATTGCGTGAGCTATACGCTCTGTACAGGAGAATACCCTGTATATGTTTTGTGACTCAATGTGATCTGTCAAATTTTGCGAACATGAAATATCGAAATGCTAAGATAAATGCCAAAATCGTGGGCTCTAGAAGAATGATCAGGTACTACAATAATCAGAAGAATCTTTTGAAATCTGTTCCTTTCATTTTAACGACGTTTGTAGGATGTGAAATGTCAGTCATATATACCTCACTACCCCCTTCATCTCACCCTTGACTTCCCCGCCTTAATCCACATCTTTCATATTACGTATTAAAACTTCAACCAAACGAAGCGACATAACTTTTGATTAAATAGTATAATGAAGCGACATTACTTCTACGACACACTATACATTTACCTGAAAATCTCATCCCAATCAACGTCCAATTCTTGTCTTCCTGTTTTCCTTGCCTGTTCGGCGTGATGTAAACAAACTTTGGGATAAATGCAGACGTTCTCTCCCAGTTCGGAGACCAGCCTCTTCTCGGCCTCAATCATGTTGATCATCTCATCGGACTCGGACTCGATTGACCTACGTGCTCTGTGACCTCCCACGTACGTTTCTGCGGAGGTAATGGAAAATCGATTTTCTGTCAATTCCAGATTACTAGACTAGGCGACCTGCACGGAATGGCCAATTTTGGAGAGTTATGTATTAAATTGTGCCTTTGCGTCACTTAACGAAACTAACAGGAATTCAAAGATCAACCTTCTTCGTTTAAATTGTTACTATAATAGCATTAAAGGGTTAAGATCTACAGGGTGTTACAGAAACACGCGCAAATCTTCCTGGGGTGGAAGGTATATAAAAAATAACAAAAAAAGGTTCCTATGAATATGGGTCTAAAGATGCTTCCCTATAAAGCATAAAGCGGGTGAAATTGCTGAGTTACGAGTTTCCCAACCCAAACTAAACCAGGAACGTAGAAACTAGGGTATATGTACCCCTAGTAGTAAATATTGTCCACGCTACTGGCTTTTTTACATTTTATAAAGTACCATTTAAGTTTCCATAAATTTTGTCGCTCAAGGAATTTTTGTCGGATCATTCGTTTTGGAGATATTTAGGTTGAAATATTTGAGGTAAAATTATAGAATATTCTGATGAAAAGTTTTAGCCTCCCCTATGCTGAAAACACCGAGTACAGGCAGTGATAATGTGTATTGCGTGATGGTATTTGTTATATTTTCCGCCCGCTGTCGTAGAATGTAACAATAACCCAGGGTGTATTTATTTTATCACCACCGGTGGAAATCAAAGGTAATTCTAAAATCAATTTAAACACCGAGTCGCATCAAAATTGCAAAAAATAATGCTAATCAAAACAAAATATTAAATTGAATGCTCGATCAGACCTCCTTCTTGGGTTTGCCAGTAACCTAACCTATTGCAGAAGCCTGTGCGAACATTTTCTGGTATAACATACAGGGTGGCCAAACACGTGACGTCATAAAAAAAAAATTAGATTCCCCACATCGAGAGGAACCCAAATCACCCCCATATATATGGTCCGATTTTGTTTAGTTTAGGAGTTATGATTTTTTTTCGGATTTTTCGAGAATTTTTGAGTTCTGTGTTTATTTTTACCATAACTTCGTTAATAATTGTGATAAATGCCTGCTTTTTTCACGATTATGTAGCTAAGACCTAAGGCTTAACTATCATATAATCATTCAAGTCATGTAACTAATACTACTTTTTAATTTTTTTCAAAATCTTCGAACATAACAAAAAAGTAAAAAAGTGCAACAACTTTGAACGTTTATAAAAAATTGAAAAAACATGTTCTTACTATTCGTAAGTATCTTAAAAACTTCCTTACGGTATCAGCTATTTACTGTAAAAATTTCATCAACCTAGCTTTACTACATGCTACCGTAATTGTGGCTCAAATAGAACCGAACCCAAAACTGGATAACCCTCTGCTCAATAGAAATTGTTAGTTTCGGAAAAAAAATTTGCAAAAACCACAAAAACACGTTTGATTTTTACTGAACAGCAGATTATTATTCATTTATGTTATTTACAAGAGGTTTTCAAAATGTCTGCCTCTAACAGAAATGCACAGTGTACACCTACGTATGAAATTTTGTTTTAAATCTCTAAATGTTTGTGTGTTGTTTTTCAACACATGTGTCGCTTCTTGAATTTTGTTCCTCAATGAATTTTCATTTGCACATTCTTGGGCGAATGTTATGTCTTTAAAATATCCCCAAACAAAAAAATCAATGGGGTTGAGGTCAGGGGAGCGTGGAGGCCATCGTATCGGTCCGTTTCGTCCGATCCATCTGTCTGGGAACCTTTCGTTTAAGTAGTTTCGCACGATCGTTGCGTTGTGGCATGGTGCACCATCATTCTGGAACACCATGTTCCGTCTGGCTTCCAGGCTTGAATCTTCCAGCAATAATGGTAGGCTATTTTCAAGGAAGCTTTTGTAGGCTACCGAATCCAACCTTGACGGCAGTTCAAATGGACCGATAAATTCCATTTTGAATATTCCTGACCACATGTTCACACTAAAACGGTGTTGAAATGTCGACGGCCTTGAGTGGTGGGGGTTTTCAACAGCCCAAGTATGTAAATTATGGATATTGAATATCCCTGTTCTTTCAAAACGTGACTCGTCAGTCCATAAAATTTTATCAAAAAAATCGGGATCCTCTCGTTGTCTTCGCAGCATTGTCTCGCAGAAATCCACTCTTAACTGGTAATCTAAAGGCATCAACGCTTGAACTCTTTGAACATGATAGGCATGATAACCTTCTTCATGAAGAATATTTTGTATCGATGTTCGTGGTATTCTAAGGTTTTGTGCCATAGATCTCGTACTCGTTGAGGGATTCCGGCTAATTTCTTCAAGTACTACTTCTCTGCGATCCGGATCAGCTGTAGGATATCCTTCATTGCTTCCTTGTCCTGGAATGCGGCCTGCCATGAAAGTGTTATGTATGTTAATAAAAACACGGTGGTCTGGGTAATGCTCAGCTGTACCGGGAACAACTTATACGCCGAGGCGGACCACAACCTGAGCATTACCCAGACCACCGTGTTTTTATTAACACACATAACACTTTCATGGCAGGCCGCATTCCAGGACGAGGAAGCAATGAAGGATATCCTACAGCTGATCCGGATCGCAGAGAAGTACGTAGTACTTGAAGAAATTAGCCGGAATCCCTCAACGAGTACGAGATCTATGGCACAAAACCTTAGAATACCACGAAGATCGATACAAAATATTCTTCATGAAGAAGGTTATCATGCCTATCATGTTCAAAGAGTTCAAGTGTTGATGCCTTCAGATTACCAGTTAAGAGTGGATTTCTGCGAGACAATGCTGCGAAGACAAGGAGAGGATCCCGATTTTTTTGATAAAATTTTATGGACTGACGAGTCACGTTTTGAAAGAACAGGGATATTCAATATCCATAATTTACATACTTGGGCTGTTAAAAACCCCCACCACTCAAGGCCGTCGACATTTCAACACCGTTTTAGTGTGAACATGTGGTCAGGAATATTCAATATGGAATTTATCGGTCCATTTGAACTGCCGTCAAGGTTGGATTCGGTAGCCTACAAAAGCTTCCTTGAAAATAGCCTACCATTATTGCTGGAAGATTCAAGCCTGGAAGCCAGACGGAACATGGTGTTCCAGAATGATGGTGCACCATGCCACAACGCAACGATCGTGCGAAACTACTTAAACGAAAGGTTCCCAGACAGATGGATCGGACGAAACGGACCGATACGATGGCCTCCACGCTCCCCTGACCTCCACCCCATTGATTTTTTTGTTTGGGGATATTTTAAAGACATAACATTCGCCCAAGAATGTGCAGATGAAAATTCATTGAGGAACAAAATTCAAGAAGCGACACATGTGTTGAAAAACAACACACAAGCATTTAGAGATTTAAAACAAAATTTCATACGTAGGTGTACACTGTGCATTTCTGTTAGAGGCAGACATTTTGAAAACCTCTTGTAAATAACATAAATGAATAATAATCTGCTGTTCAGTAAAAATCAAACGTGTTTTTGTGGTTTTTGCAAATTTTTTTTCCGAAACTAACAATTTCTATTGAGCAGAGGGTTATCCAATTTTGGGTTCGGTTCTATTTGAGCCACAATTACGGTAGCATGTAGTAAAGCTAGGTTGATGAAATTTTTACGGTAAATAGCTGATACCGTAAGGAAGTTTTTAAGATACTTACGAATAGTAAGAACATGTTTTTTCAATTTTTTATAAACGTTCAAAGTTGTTGCACTTTCTTACTTTTTTGTTATGTTCGAAGATTTTGAAAAAAATTAAAAAGTAGTATTAGTTACATGACTTGAATGATTATATGATAGTTAAGCCTTAGGTCTTAGCTACATAATCGTGAAAAAAGCAGGCATTTATCACAATTATTAACGAAGTTATGGTAAAAATAAACACAGAACTCAAAAATTCTCGAAAAATCCGAAAAAAAATCATAACTCCTAAACTAAACAAAATCGGACCATATATATGAGGGTGATTTGGGTTCCTCTCGATGTGGGGAATCTAATTTTTTTTTATGACGTCATGTGTTTGGCCACCCTGTATAAGCAACGCGGCACATTACACGACCTTCTGCGTCACCGTTGCTATGTAATGATGACCTTCGCTATTCAGCCGCATTATTTCTCTTTCTAACATGTGTTGTGATACACACTGAACTCAAGCCATCAGACAAACTTGGTTTTCCAGTAGGTTAGATTAGGTTGGGTATCTTGCGAGTGCATCAATAAGGATCCTCCAGTGCGACTCTTTAGTCTATTGTGGCTGAAACCTATTTATATTTCCCCCAGTAGCTCCGATCTCACGAGGAATGAATGAATGAAAACATGAAACTAGAGGCATACCGGCCACCATGAGGAGCCAGCGCATAGGCCACTCAGACGTGCCTTGTTCTAGCGAAGTTGAGTATGGCTTTGAGTCCAAGCTCCTTAATGTCCTGGGGGTCCAAAGTGATCGACCCCAGTATAGTCTGCCTGTAGTAGCTAAGAGCCTCGCAGCGACACAGAATGTGCGCCGAGGTCTCTTCTTCTCCGCAGCGCTCACGCAAGGGATCCTCAGCCACCCCCATCACGTGCAGGTGGCGCCTTAAAGTGTTAGGGCCCGACAACAGTCCCACCAGCAACCTTAGGTTGGCTCTATCCAAAGATAAGCAGAAACGTCCATCCTTAGTGTTGGGCCCTGCAATGAGTTCCCGTGCCTGCCGTAGATGTCTGGAGATGCTTCTCCATTTCTGAGAGTGTTGCCTTACAATCCACTTCTCCATTTTACTCCTAACTCTTAGCGCGGGCACCCCTAAAGCTGGCTCAGGATCAACAAGCTTGCTGGCTGATCCTGTCTTCGCCAAAGCGTCCGCCGTCTCATTGCCCTTTATCCCAGCGTGCCCCGGTACCCACACTAACGATACCGGATGCCACGCTGCTAGATAATCCAGAGCCTCCCTGCATTGCAACACAAGCCTCGAAGTAATCTTACAGGCACTTAGTGCCTTCATTACAGCCTGGCTGTCAGAGACGGTT